GTTTTCTCTATTTGTGCTGTTTATCATTCGCTATTTGTAATACCGAAGGCGCAGGCTGCATACATTCCCCACGCCCACTGACCAGATGGAAAACCACTCTGTTACAGACAGATGATCCAGCTGTTCTGCGAACATGAGCACTTGCACGTAGCCTGCAGTCTGCTCCCTCCACCACACTGCCCTGCTCTCACACTCCTCTACAATGTGAAATGTTACTACAGCACATGGTCACAAGAAATGAGAACACAGCCAGGCTAAGGTGAAAGGGAGCTATTGGCAGAAATTTAATATAAAATAATCCTAATGATGTTTTCATGAGTGTGTTTCATCTAAATGGTACAAATAGCTGTTTTCTTAACTCTACAATGGGCCCTTTATATTTAAATACTTAATAATTACAGGAGTGGGTCCTCCCTACAGAGGCCTCCATGTTTTTTACAGTAGCCCAGTCTGGACAAACTAAATATCTTTATAGTTTTTATGTCAACTGAAGGCTACCACAGGTACTCTTTCATGTTGTGAAGGGGAGAGTGAGGTGAGGGGTGTTCATCTGCAACATGCAACTTCACCACTAGATGTCACTAAATTCTACACAGTGAACCTTTAACACATTTCAACAAGTCAATTGAAAGTGCTTGACATACAATATAAAAGGCAAATTGTAAAACAAACATATGACATTACAAAACAACATTTAAAAAGACACCAAAAGAGTTACATGAAGAATAAAAAATTTATGAATAAAATAAGAGAGAGATAAACTAATAGTGCAGTGTAAGATATGTGTAATTATTTGATTCAATAAAAGGCATAAACATTGATGTAAAACAACTAAGAGTTGCAGCAGACCTGCAGTCCTCTGGGAGCTTGTTCCACATATGTGGAACCGAAGCAAACAATCTGAATGCTGCTTCTCCATGTTTAGTTTTGACTCTAGGGACAGACAACCTTGGCATTCATTTACATCTGTACACAAAAGACATGTGACATCTTTTAATACAAAACATGAACAACTGCAGGTGAATGACACTTCATAAACACACCAACTACTCACCTAATAAAAGATTGATTGTGTGTCACAGTAAACATGGGGGAATTCCATTGTACCACCCTGCCTGGTGCTCACCTCCTGATTTTGCAGACTGAATCTTGAATCATGTCCCAGCTTGCTCCCTGCAGGCTATATGTCAGGAATATATTGTCTCAGAGCTCTTGCTGAGATGACAGCAGCATTTCTTCAGAGAGCAACAGCATTCCTTCTGTCCTTTTGATCGTGGCCAGATTAACCAAGTACTGATAACCCTGAACATTTTTCTATTGGGGTCCTCTTATGTATTGGGTTCTGTATACTCTATCACCTCTACGTTTTCATCAAGGACAGGGAGTGGTGCAGAACTACCTTAGCCCATGTTTCTATTTTCTGTCAGTTTCAGGTTACATGATTACACAAACAACCTGAAACATTTGGATGAGTTTAAATATTATTTAGGTGCCTAAAACACTGGCACAAGTTTTCCTTGCTGTAATCATTCTTCCTGTTCATAGTGACCCAAAAGAAAAACCCTCTTAATAATTCTCCAAAATGTTTAAGTGATGGGGGACAAAATGGGGTTGGGGATTTTGTCCATACTGGCCTTTAAAACCATATTTTGCACAGTGTCCCTCTGCAAGACAGGGCCACACATTTAGCTAATATTGGAAGACCTGCTGGAATTTATGAACTCTCAATTTGCAGTGAAATACAGGACTCCTGGAACTTTTGCTCATTTACTCCAGTCTTGTGTGGTTTCATTTTATTTCATAAGACAAGGGACTGCTGTGGGTGCAAAATACTACATGTAGGGGGATATGAGAAGTTCTCTATTAAGAAGAAAAGCTTAGCCATCACCCCTCTCTCTCCTACCACCTCTTAGCTATCATGTTAGAACCAAAAGCCCTCTTGCTGCAGGGAGACAGTGCTACCTACTGGACTGCCTGGATTAGTCTCAATACTTCTCAGCAGCTAAATGGCGGTTCTAATGAAAGTTTGTTGGGTTATGGGCAATCCATCTTCTCCCTCTGAAGTGAGTATGGAGTGGAATGTCCACTGCATTGTCATGGTTCCACCTCATCTTCATCTGCACACTCTGCAGCTCTTCCTTGTTCCATGACCTAAGCATGGGTGTATTGTTCATAACGGCGATATGGCGAAGCACCACCAATGGGGAAAAAGGAGGGAATTTTTTTCATATTCTACCAGAGTGTTACAGTAGTTGTGACTGTTCTTGAAAGTTTGACCTGCCTCTATATGTCATTGTCCAGTCAGCGTAAGGTCATGCTCCATGAGCAGTGCAACTTTTGGTTGATTTCAGTCAGGTTGAAAATCGCCCAGATTGCTCTGATACAACTACTAACCAATTTTACAAACCACAGGCACTATAATGCAATCTATATGGGTTCCGGGGAGGGAATGCACTAACCTGCTCACATCATATGTACCTTGATGGGGAGAGCCAGGGCACTGGTAGGGCAGCAGGCAACTACCTTTATACAGTCACATTCGCTCAGCATGGCTAGTGTTTAGAGTAACTGCATCACGTTTCTAAGAGAAGCTCCTTTCATTTTACAGACGTCTGTGATACAATCCTTCAAAGAAAGGTGCTCTTTTGCTGATCACCGCGTGGGTGCCACACTACAACAAACAGAGAGGTTTGAACAGCACTGTGACACTGCCATGCATTTCCTGCTGAGGCTCTGAAAGGCATGTCCCATGTTGTACAAAGCAATCCCTTATTTATGAAATTGCCAAATTCAAGGGCTGCTGTGGTGCACTGGTGCTGTACCAGGTTCTACTGAGATACAACCCGCAGGAATCCTTTTCTGAGACTGTGGCTCTGTTGAACATCCTCATGACAACCCCATGCTGACAGCTAAAGCTGAGAGATGTTTCTCAATGTTAAAAAGAAATAAGACATTTCAGCAAAACGTGATGGGCCAGATTTCAATAAGAGGGTTATTGATCACTTTGCTGGTTTGAAAGGGAGACACGCAGAATTTCAGTATAGGTGATGTAGTATAAATACAAACACACTGCCTAACTTTTTCTTTTTTGGGGGTTCTTAATTCTCCTTTTGTTACAGTATATATATTTCCCTTCTGGTGGTAACCTTGATAAATAACAGAAATTGTAAGATGTGACAATCCACTTCACTTTTCTATTTGTCCTATTGCTATTGCCGTACTATCACTATTTATAGTGCATTGGTAAATGTGTGCACTTTCATTTGCACACAAAATTGTTTTGCATAAAATATTTATGTTAATGTAATAATGTTCAGGCAATCTGTATAAATAGCCAGATTTTGTATTTACTGTTTGTTTCTGCAAATACAGATGTATGTTTGTGCCATGTTGAAGAATGTGAATATACTATCCCTTTATTATTTGGATTAGGATTAATATTATGTTCTTGCAGTGTATTTGTGTTGTTTGTTGTGATGTTTACAATCATACCCTACCGGTGTCACATTTCAGTTATAGTTACAGTTATATGTATGTTCACTCCATGCAAGTTACTAGCACTAGATACTAACTATTTGATTGATTTATTGTGCCAGTGCTTTTATAAGCCATTTGTAATGAGAAAAAACAACAAATATATTTTAAAGAACTGTAAATAAATACTTCTAATGTTTTTGGCATATATGTAATCTTCTTCTTTATTAATGGTAAAAAAGATATACTGTATGTCTTTCCATGTTTAAAGGTATTTAAAGGGAAACTGATGACAATTTAACTGTTATTGGCCATAGTGGATTGATCATATTCATGGTAGAGTCAAAATAATATTATTTATTAAGACCCCTTCATGTAACATTCCACAAATAGGCCTAGCATAGTATATGGCTTATGTAGCTGAAGGGAAAATCTTTGTATTGTGTTTCCATCTAGTGGTTATAGATGGTATTGTTATGTTGTATGCTCGCCAGAAAAAGAGAATTGTCGAGCTACCTATTCATTTACCCATTGAAAGGGTCATCCTAGTCATCATCCCAACAATTGCCTCCCCTAAGAAATTTGTCAGGAGCCACCACTAGACCTATGAGCTCTCACCTTATCATTCAGCATGGGCCTTCAGTTCTGGAGCAACCCAGGGTTTGTTGTTAGCACACAACTGTGTTGTCTTGGTGGGTACAGTGTGCTGTAAACGGAAGCTCTCTGTGATAGTGTGAGACCATCACTGTCCTCACTATTTTTGTTCGAAGAGAACATTCCAGAGTCAAAACAGTCCTTCAGTGTCTCAGGAGACCATTGTCTCATTGTGTGTATTGTTGACTTTGCCTATGTACTACAGTGTAGGTTTCTACTCAGGCAAGAGATGCACCAAAATTCAATTCAATTCAATTTTAAAACTATTTGTATAGCACCAAATCCTAATATACATTATCTCAAGGCACTTTACATAGAAGGTCAAGACGTTAATAATTTATAGAGAAACCCAGCAGTTCCTGCAATGAGCAGCACTTTGGTGACTGTGGAGGGAAAAAAACTCCCTCATTAACAGAGATAAACACGTAGAACCAGACTCAGTGTGGACGAACATCTGCCTCGACCGGTTGGGGTGAGCAAATAAACTGCACTCTGCAATATTACTTTTCAATTACTTTCATGTGGCAATGAAATTATATGAAAAAGGGTTTGATAAGTTATGTTACTTAGATTAGAGATGGATTTCAGTAAAATGGCGGATCCCCAACAAAGTCTGGTTTCTGATGCTATAAATGTATTTAAGACTATTTAGTGAAAGGTGAACCATTTCAATGTGAAATGTTTTCTGACATTTAATGTCAGGAACAAAAGTAAAAAAGGGATTTCCACATTTAGATACACTTTAACAATAATATTGTACATAGTTTGTCTTAATATACAAAATTGCTGTGTTTATATGAATGCTTTGTATGTTTCAACTCAAATACACACGTCAAACATATGCGCTCATAAAACCAGACTGTTTGCGACATTTCCGGTCACAGCTGCGCCGGTGTGCTTTACGACACTTGTGACAAACCAGAAGTGTCAACCGCTGCAGCGAGGAGCGACAGGTGACTTTCTCCAACCTGAAGGCAAAGCGAGAAACGAAACCAGCTGCGATGTGACCCCGTGCTGGCGGCCAGACACCCCCAGCGAACGAGAGGACTGCAACCACGATGTGAGAAATAACAGTTGGTTTCCGACCGCTTTCCTTCACGGCCCTAGCCACCTAGCTTAGCTTAAACTACCCGGAAGCTAGCGAAGCCAGTTTGTCAGCTCTCAGTCCGCAACATGTTCTGAGCGCGAGGCGAATTCGATGTGACACCCTGACACTTTCACCCCGTGGGCAGCGTTTCCACTCGCGGCTGGGCATCCATCAGTCAAACACAAAATGTGGCTCCAGCAGCGACTAAAGGGGCTGCCGGGCTTGTTGTCAAGCAGCTGGGCGAGAAGACTGCTCATAGGACTGCTCCTCTTCCTCATCTTCTACTGGTATCTGGGAGCGGAGCGCAGCTGGAGGTTCTTCAGCAGCTCGACCATGCCCGGCGGGGCGGCTGGACAGTGTCTACAGGCTGAGATCCACCGGTGGAAGTCGCTCGTAGACCGAGGAGAGGGGATATACAGCACACCTCAGGAACAACTAGACACACCGTTTGTATCAGGTAATGGCCACATTTTGATTGACATTGACTCTAACAAACTGTGGGTGGCGTCGTCCTCGCAGCCCGGCTCGGCCCCAGTCCACCCGACCGAATATTCACCGAGGGTCGGCGTGCACCTGGAGGGGAAGCGGGCCGAGGCTCAGGCCAGCATGCTGTGGTTCCGGAAAGGTGCCGTGCTGTCGGTGCGCTGTGCCTCCCTGCAGTCAGCCCGGGACTGTGTCACCATCAGAGAGGAGTTCATCGCCCACAGAAGCAGATCTAACGTCTATCTCCAGCGAATCCACATCAACAACCCGTCTGACAGGCCCGCCTCCCTGGACGTTTCCTCTGTCAATCCCTCCTTTGGGAGCAAGTTCTCCACCAGTGTGGAGAAACTGGAGGAGAAAGAAATACTGCTCTCCTCTGGCAGAGTGCCTGTGGAGAATAATCGCATGGTTCTGGTGGTGGTGGTCACCAAGAAGCCGACCAGCAGGATTCAAGTCTCTGCTAAGTCAGAGTTCACAGACAATATTGTGTCAGTGGTGTGGACCTCAGAGCCCATCGAGCCTTCCAAGCTGGAGGAGACCTTCAGCACACTCAGAGAAGGAGCCAAAAAGGAACTGGGGGAGCTGCTGAGAGACAGTGTGGACGAGCTGGTTGTAGATCACCAGCAAGCGTGGATGGATCTCTTCTCTTCAGGTGAGCTGAAGCGGAAGCAGCAACTGGTGCTGTGCTTAAAAGGTCCAGTGTGTAAGATTTAGGTGAAAGGGATTTTTGGCAGAACTTGAATATAAAATAATCTTAGCTGTTTTCACTGGTGTGTTTCATCTAAATTGTATGAATTGTTGTTTTCTTTACCATAGAATGAGCCTTTATATTTACATGGAGGGGGGTCCTCTCTGTGGAGGCCGCCATGTTTTTTACTGTCGTCCAAACTGGACAAACTAAAACCTTTTGAGTTTTCATGACAACTGAAGGCTTCCATATGTTCTGTTTCATGTTTGGAAGGGGAGGGTGAGATGAGTGGTATCCAGCTGCAACATGAAACTTCACCTCCAGATATCACTAAATTCTACAGACTGAACCTTTAAAGGACCACACTGAAGTTCCTTTAGATTTTAGTTAATCATACAAACCCCACATTCTACACAAAGTAAAGTATATAACCATGCTATAATGAGTCATAACGAGACTATTGTGGTAATTAAATCACATTTGTCAAATATAGTAAAATAATGCAAACCTGTGTGAAATGTGTGGAAGGGCAATAAAAACACCTGTAAATGGTTTAGAGGATCAAATAAAATCCTGTCAACAGCCCATCTACTACTCTCTACTACTACTACATCTGATCACCGGAACAACAGACTCATCCTTCCTAAAGGATCATGAGGTTTACGGTGAAGTGAGAAACATGAAAGAGCAGCAGATATTTTTACAGAAAAGTGAATGGAACTCATCTAAGATTCTGTGACTGTCACAAAACAACTGACAGTGTTAATGCTTCTACTCTTATTCTATCAGTGCAGCTCCGGACAACATGAAAAGAAATATAAACTAAAGCCTAAAATGTTGTCTTTTATGAATAAATTGTTTACATTGTTCAATACTTCTCTCGCTTATAAATGAACATTTCAGTCAAACTGAGCTCATCACACATTAACTACCCCCCTCCCCCCGTCTGACATCACTTCACGTGTTTATCTGCATCACGTGTTCAATCGTCAATCATCAAACAAACCCCCCCCCACCCCCAAAACACACAGCAATAAACTGACAGTTTGTCGTCAGCCTGACTTAACTTAATAACTGGACATTATCTCTAGTGTTTCTGTGCTATTCAACCATGTTATATTGTTCAAGTCACACTTTTGAGCTGCACCATCACAGATCTTAATGAAATTTGACATGCAGAGTTTGCAGTATGAGAAACATGGAACAGAAATTAAATATCTTAGGTGTCTAATAAAGATAGATGTGCGCTAACAAAGTTAGTACACTGTAATTGACTGGTCCAATTCTACTTATCGATTTCAGCTCTTATTGATTCCAATATGGTCAAACATGGGTCAAGTGGGTAAATGACAATATATCTTCATTCTTTTAAGAAGCAAAGACAAAATTGCAGCATCAAAGACTGGAAGGAGTAGAAATTAAGAATGGCCACTGCTTTATAGAGGCTTGTTGCCGTCTCAATAGAAGCTTAGAATTCTGATTCCACACATTTCTTTGAATACACTATCCAGTGGCCTGGGAGCCATCAACAGTGGTTGGTATTTTGCATGTGCCTGACCATGCACTAATCACTAAGTCCTGTTAAACAACATTGTAAAGAATTAGTGATGTGATGCTGCATCAGATAAATTCTGATCTCAGCAACGACTCAGAAACCGAAGCCAAAAATATCTGGAGGTCTTGATGACATTGTAAACAAATTTTGGTTAAAAAAAAACTGGACTAAAGAGATTTCATTTTTTTGCTTTAGCTCAATTTAACTTTTCTGAAAAAATTCAAACTACATCAGCTCATATCTCCCTTAATTAGGGCCCGAGGCATGAAACCAGAGACATCAAGTTTATTAATGTGTAACATTTGAATGGATAGAAAAGCTTTGGAAGCACAGCTGCAACAAACAGTGGTTTTGACCTTTTTGGGGGGTGGGGGGTTGATTTTTGTAAATGACTTGTAGCACATGCACACTCATCCTGTTGAGACAGACTTAAAGGTTTAACTCTCGACGTTGCGACTGACTGTATGGGATGGTATCCTCAGCAGGCATGATGATAACTGTAAAGATGTTTTGATGGTCCACTGACGAAATCAGATTACACATGGTTGCTATTTAATACGTTTCAATATGAATCGCTCTAGTGCTTATTCCTTCCCTCAGATTTGGTAAAATACAGTATAATGCCACTAGATGTTTGTCCACCCGATGGTTGTAAAGGAGAATTGGGAATTAGAAATGAAAGAACAAACATTCACTTTAGCTGCTTTCGGACATGCACTGAACTCTTTTTTTCTCCAGAAGAGATGTATGTTTGAACGCAAATGTCAGAGTTTCCACTACGTTCATTTTGCAGCAGCTGCCCGGGTACCTTGTACAGTGCTGTGTCACTGTGCTGCATGTCCTCCCTCCTCACTTCCCCGCTGGCCAGCACTCACTTTACACATTAACAATTATAATTAACTTTATGAGTTATTAGGACCCGTACAGGACTTGAAGTTTACTTTATGTTGGTTTGAGTTCAAACTTAGCATTTGTGTTTAAATTAAAGTATGGTTAGAATTTCATGTAAGTTACAGTAATGAACAAAAACATAACACACAATTTATTCTATTCTGGTCTGGCTCTGGTTAGTATTTTACATATTCAAATGTTAACAGCGTAGGTTGGAAAAATATATGAATTTCTGGTCTTAAGACACCAACTGGAGTCAGGTGTTGGTAAAGCTGGAGTCCAGTCAATGGTGTGTCTTAGAGCTACTTATTCCAGATTTATAGAAACGCGTATTTGGAGTTTGCTGTTCACTAAAAAGATCTGCTGATGTGAACCAAGACAAAAAAAAGAGAGACCTCTCATGACTGTAGATACAAAGTCATGTGAAAGACACTGGAGACACTTTATTACTGCCCCACATCTGTGTTGTGGCTGTCGTGTTATTTTGTACATAGTTCAGGGGTCTGCTGACAAGATCATGATCAGAATTCAACAGTTTTATCAATTAAATCAAGATCATCCCCTTCCCCCAGTACATACAAATGAAGGTTTACAATGAAAATATATGTGCTTTAAAAAAGTGCAGTTGCCAAAAGCTCTAGAAAAGCCAGTAAGTGGAGGTTGAGTTAAGATAGTGTTTTTGTCAAATGACATCATCTTACATTCACAGCAATGAATCATTGTATTTGCTTCTTGGTTCTTTCAGGTGTTGAAATGAGGAAGATAACAGACTCCCACACGCCATCGAGCCGCACGGTGAACACCACCCTCTACTACGTCCTCTCCTCCTCCACGGCTCCCATGCTGGACCGTAGGCTGAGCAGCGAGGAGCGCCCCCGGCTGGAGTCCAGCCTCAACTACGCGGACCACTGCTTCAGTGGCCACGCCACTATGCATGCAGAGAACCTGTGGCCCGAGCGGGTGAGCAGTGCTGCCCAGATCCTGCAACTGGTCACGCTTTGGACCCTGACTCTGCAGAAGAGAGGCTGCAAGGTGCTTGTTGCAGCCGGGGCCCACGGAGCCATGCAGGGCATGGTGCTCAGCTTTGGTGGCCTTCAGTTCACAGAGAACCACCTTCAGTTTCAGGCTGATCCAGACGTGCTGCACAACAGCTATGCCTTGAGAGGAATCCACTACAACCAGGACCTCATCAACCTGGCAGTACTGCTGGATATGGAGGGGAAGCCTTTTCTTCATGTGTCAGTGAAGCAGCAGGACAAACCAGTGAAGCTGTATGCCTGCGAGGCCGGCTGCCTCAATGAGCCTGTGGAGCTGACATCAGAGGTCAAAGGTCACACCTTCCCAGTGATGGTGACTCAGCCAATCACACCGCTGCTTTACATCTCCACAGACCTGCGCCACCTTCAAGACCTGCGCCACACCCTCCACCTTAAGGGCATCCTGGCCCACGAGGAGCATATGGCCATACGATACCCAGGCCTGCCCTTCCTCTTCTGGTTCAGCGTGGCCTCCCTCATAACTCTCTTCCATCTTTTCCTCTTCAAGCTTATATACAACGAGTATTGTGGCCCTGGCGCTAAGCCCCTCTTCAGGAGCAAGGTATAAACTGTGGTAAATGGAAACAAAAAACTGCAAACTGATCTACTATGCTCATGTTTTTCCATTTGTTTGTTTTTTGTCTTTTTTTGACTTGCGTGTGGTGGCAAAGATTCCTCTTTCTCTCTCTCAGTGCTCTCTCTGTTTGTTGGTTTCTTGGTTTTGACTTTCTCCCTCTCGGTGAGTGAGCTTTACTTCCCATCTCATGTGGTACACTCTTGGAGTGGGTTGGCACAACAGCCTTACACACCTCGCCTTCCCCCTATCACAAAACATGGTTCCACAGTTCTTGTTCAGTGGTGGGGCTGATAAGGTTTTTCACTGCAGCTGTTCTCTAAAAGTGAGCAATGAAAAATGTGATCGAAGTTGAAAGCAGTAGAGTAGCAGCCTCCGTTCAGAGTCAGAGACCTCGAAGTTACAATGAACCATCTGATGTATGGCGTTATCTTAGCACAGCACCTGTTCCATGTTTGGAATGTAACACATTTGTTGATTGCAATGGAAGAAAAACGAGCACAAGGAGCACATCACGTCAAGAGGTTGTCTTACTATGTTAATGCCACTTTGTGACAGCACTCGCATTGTTCTGTGTTAGCATTCTTAAGGGAGCATACCAGTGTTGGCCATTTACAAAAAAAATAATTGTCGGATCAAGCTGAAGTCAAGAGTAATATAAGCCACTACAGAAGACATTGTGTCTGTTTTTAGTTTTGTTAATGTTATTTGTCCGCAGGTTGCAAGACCGTTCAAAGCTACACATTGAAGGTGATCTGAAACAAAATGCAACCAGTGACTGCGTATAAAGATGGATGACATGTCTCCACTTCTCCCCCACTGTACAAAATGAAGCCAAAATATCCTGGATATGGGTGCTGCCATCTTGTATTGGTGACATCATGTGGAGCCAGAGTCTGTGCAGTATTCCATGGCATCGAGGTCCTGCTGATACACATGACCCAGTTCAGCCAGGGTCTTGTGGAGTTTGCACATTCTCCCGCTTCCTCCCACAGTCCACAGACATGCAGATTGGGGTTAGGACAATTAGAGACTCTAAATAGACCATAGGTGAGAATGTGAGTGTTGACCCTGTCACCCAAGGTCAGCTGGGATGGGCACCAGTTCCACCTTAAATGTTAAGCAGAATAGTTGATCGATGGATGACCATCCATTTCCCATCTGCTCACAAGGAGGGGCACAGGTTTATGACTGCAGCCAGCCACCAGGGGGCAATACGTATGTTTTGGATATACTGTTTGGAGTCACGTTCAATCAATATTTATATTGAGTCACCAGATGCAACAAGCTGTTGGGTGGTGTCAGAAAAAAGAAGCCTGCAGGCCAATGTAAACATGGATGTTAACTCTGTAAATGTTTACTAAAGAGCAAAATGAATATATAAGCTTGAGGAGACACAATGTGTTGTGATGAGAATGTAAACAGAGCTTTAGTTTGGTTATAAGAAACCTCCACAAAGTACCTTTGACAGAGGTACGAGCAGCTTTAATTCTGACCCTCACACTGGAACTGACACAATGGCGAGCACTGAAACATGAACATGATTTATAGTAAATGATCCTCAACATTGGTATGGTTCTTTCCATGATTACTAACTACAGCTGGTATTCTCTTTTCATAAGTCTGATCATCAGTACCATCAGTAATGATAGAGTACTCACAACGACATTGTGAAAAACAGACAGGCTCTAAACAAACCTCCATGTCAGCCGAAGTCATTTGGAAGAAAAGTGATACGTTTATCACCCAAACTGTCTGCACACAGTTGGGGCTGTGCAGAAAGATAGGAGTAGTCAAATGTCGAGTGTTCTCAGTAGACCTCCAAGTGGTTTAGATAACCTGCAGCTTTGTTTCCACCCTGTCTGTTTCCTCATGAGCTACAACACATTTTACAGTTCATGTGAGATTGTTGTCATGGATCAACCCAAAGCATATTAATCCTGCAAATAATAGAAGCCTGAATTAGAACCCATTGTAGTGTGGTGGTGCTAACTAACAGTCCTTAATGTCTGTTGTCATGTGAAACGACTACTGGTTGACGGATTATAAAAAACACATTAACATGCTGGACTGTAAAGAAAGATTGTGCTGAAGGGTAAACGTTCGTCTCTGATCAGCGTGGACTGTGTGCTCACTTTTCAGGAACCTTTTCTGCTATTCCTTTTTCTTCCTGCCTTTTGATGATGTTTTATATTGAATCACTCAATTAAATTAACAAAATCTGGGTTGGCTTTGGCTCTTCAGTATTGACCTGTCACCTTTCTCTGGCACAATCACACATCTCTCGTCCTCAGCATGTCTGTTTTCTCCTCTCCTGGGAAGCAGTGTGGACGGGTGCTAGACTGGTTCCCAGCTCATTATCCAATCTAACCCCTCACCCCCTTTCTGACTTCACCAGGATGCCAGCAAAAGTGAGGATGGCTGCTGCGACACCACGAGTGCTGCTTGAACGCTACAGTACTGTGCACACATTCGTCATGTAGCAGTGGTTCTGCTTGAGCTTTGGCAGCATGCGAGATGTTAACATGGGTGTGCTGCTGCTGCTGAATCTGAAACGGCCTCAGACATTTGCTTTGCTTGGGCCCGCGATGTGTGGAGGCATACTCCTCTGCTGGTGAGAGGCTGCAGAGGGATGGAGGTCAAAACTGAGTACAATCTACACCAAGTATTTCAAAAGTTTGATTGTTTGGGGGGGTGTTTCAGGTTCTGTGCTTCAGCATTAAATTTGAAATGACTTGGTACCCAAATGTCTGGAGTTCAAAAGTAATTGGACACTTGGTTACTCAATGTTTCTTGGGCAGCTGTTGTTTCAGTGTTAGTTCCTGTACAAAGAGTGCTCACGCTGCCTACAGGCTATTGAGATGGGCTTATTTGTCAGTATGAAAAGTAAAGAGGTGACCATGCAAGTCAGGAAAAAATAACGAGGTTTAAGAAAGCAAAAATCTGTAACAGATATCGAAGGTTTGTGTGGACACTTTCTAAAAAATATCAATGGAACTGTTTGACCGGGGAGCACAAGACTTGTGGAAGAAATAAAATAATTTGCACGGTGAAGACAAATCCATGCAAATGCACATGAAGAGACCAGCATGTTGAAGTAAGAAGTAATCAAAGTGGTGGAAGTGAGGAGAGCAAACAGCTCTTGTCGTAAAGCCTACACTTCATCTGTCCCACATGGATCTTATTCTGTCCAGTGGAACCGACACACCAACATTTACTGATAAACAGGAAGAACATTCAACAGTACAACAATACTAACCTAAGAAACAAAGAGGTACAATATCCTGGACTGGGTTTGACAATCAAAGGCACTGCTCAGCTTGCAGCTGCTCAAAGATCATCGTTATTATTTTGATCGAGAGACCCCCCCTAGTGGTAGAAAATGACATATTGTGTGTTTAAATATATTATTTTTGATTTGATGTGTATTTGTCCAATTACCTTTGAACTCCTTAACTTTGGGCACCATGTTTGTAAATGGCTGTATCTCCACACCCACAATAAAAAAAAAATGAAACCAGCTCAAGATAATTGCTGAGACTTGACACTTTCGTGTAGGATTCAAATGAAACTGAATGTGCTGAATTTTTCAGAACCAGAACTAAATATTTAGCAAATGCTTGAAAAATTCACATAATTATTAGATCATGACAATGAAGGCAGATCTCTTCCGTATGTTTGGAACTATGGACCTTTTTCAAGGCAGCTATTTTGACACGAGATAGTAAACACTGGTGTTACTAATCACATTCATTAAGGTTTTGCGCTATTTTGATTGGGCCTTAAGGAGATTGATGAGTAACAATCACTGCAGTGAAAAGGGTCTGTAGTCAAGTAACTTCTCTCTAAAAAGTGTGAACAATACAGTTCACCCATTTAGAATGGCAATCCATTTAATATTGTGTATACTGAAAAAAAATATTCCAACCTCAATTCCACAAAATCAAGAATTTACTTTAGCGAGCTAACAGAGATGTTAACATAGGCACAGTAGTCTTTACTATGCTAGCATTACTTTACTATACTGACATATGCTAATCGTTGCGTGAAAACACTGTGGTAACCGAGATGTGTAAAGAAAACGTAAAACAGACACACCGCCCGAGTAAATAATGGGGTTCTCTCGCATTTTTTCAAGTTTCCTGTTGGTAAAATGAAACAACTTTTTTGTCGAAATAATTTTGAGTCAATTCCCCTTTGAAAGTCACAGATTGCTTGCAGTTTACCTGTCGCTGAACAGGCCTCGGATTAACTGCTCTGCACCATTTTCACACATGACCTGCGGGTAAAATCCAGACAATTGGCTCCAGAGTTTACCCGAAGTTTGCTTTCAAACACGCACAACGCAGTGGGAGGTTCTCTGCACGGATGCCCTCACAACAGCAACAAAAACGAGAGGTGGTGCAGCAGACAAAGATAGGAAGTGATGTATTAACTCCGCTGCGTGGCTCACGTGATTTTCTTAAAAACACACAGAGCTCTTATCTTATTAGCTCTTACGTGAGCTCTTATCACTACAGACTCTCTAGACATCTTCGTCTGTGTCTTCCACAGCTTTTTCAATGGGAAATTTGTTTCTTATTGTTTCTGTCTTTTCATTTTGCGTCCACTTGCTCGCAGTGAATCCGGCGGGGGATCCCCTGCTGTGTTCACACATCAAATTCATCCTAGACTTCTACGGACTTTGTGCTAGGAGGTCAGGCGGAGAAAGTCTCACTCGGGCATTTGTGTTCACACATGCACCTCCTCAGGTGTATATGCTCTTCATCTATGTGCCATGTTGCACTGCCATGTCTCTACTCTAGCCCAGGGACTGGCTCTTGAGAGGGCCTTTACCTGAAGGCCACCATAGGCTCTCCTACATGGTTGTGAGTGAGGGCTATTCAGTTGTTTGCAACTTCATCACTAGATCTTACTAATTCCTACACTTTCGTTTGTTCCTCAGTGACTTTTGGTGCAGTCTGGGCTGCTTTTAGTGCCTTTAAGAATTCAGTATGTTCGAAGTAAACTAGATTGTATCAGTTTGAAGGTTAAAGTATTTGTTCAGACAAGACGTGGAAGGTTTTCATGGTGTTGTAGAGAAAAAGAAGTTCAAACGCTGCTCCCTTCTTTCTTACCTCTGCTCACCTATGCTGTGGTTGTGATCGAAGGTATGTCGGGGGTGTTTCTACTCATGCAACTTTAATGTGAATTGCTGGAAATCAGATGGTACGTCTAGGGGGAGACCTGTCACATATAGAGGTATAGATACTGTATATATAGGCTGATAAATGGAACCCAGCTGAATGTTGGTATTCAGTTGTGGCGACTGTGAAGGCCATGACTTATGGTTCACATCAATTTCATACAAATCAAACCAGTTGGTGAACCACTCGACGAACCAGTCATCACACCAGTCAGTGAGCCCTCCTGTTGTTTAATACAGTATGTCATTCCCTTTGCCTTGACACTCATTTAATCAGATCTTCCCCTGCCTGTGTCTTTTTTCTGACAATTTTTTTCCCTGACATCCATCTGATTGTTCCCTGTCATCAGTTGTATAAAAGATCTTTTCCTACATGACTTCCCTCATCACTAAATCTCCAACAAGAACAAAACAGCTTTGTAACTGCTCCTCTACAAACACTATTCTCCACAGGCAGAAGCTTCATTAGCCTGGCGAGGGAAGCTGATTTATTATCGTTTTGTTTTGAAATCTCTGTACATTTGGCCGATAGTTTTATTGGTGACAATAATACTGCACAGACCAAAGTGATTTTCGTGGTCATGTGAACAGAAGTCTATCAAGTGATGACGCTTGAGAAGTCAGATGATCTGAGGCTGGAAACAAACCTCCAGCTGAACCAATCATTACTGAACATCCATCAGTTGACAGATCGAGTTTCTACTTCAACTCTTACTTTTGTCTTGAGAAGTTAATACATTTTAGCCCCCAGAACACAAAAATCTTTACTGAGCATTCACTGAAACGGTCTGCTTATGAAAACATTATGAAGAACCTAATATAAAGAGTATAAGGGCAGGGTATGAGCAAAGTTATTTCGTGGCCATAGGAGATTTTTGTACCACAAATTGGCAGCAACATTGAATCTGTGATACATTTATACATTCAAGCCTCTTGTCCTCATCAGTGATGTTACAGTGGGTGTTAAGTCCTCGACACCCCATTAAACACATTTGCTGTGACATCACTGGCTGCGGTACAGGAAGGAAAATTACATACTAGAAAGTTTAAACGCATTAGTTCCCACATGCTTCTTTGCTCGTGTACGTGTAATTTTGATCAGAGGCAAATGTTGGGCTGTTATAACACCCAAGCTTCATGAATAGTTTTACATCTTATGTTCTATATCATGTCAATCATACTCTCAGATTAAAAGAAAACCATTTATTTTGTAATATTTCAATATGGTACAATTGATAAATATGAATAAGAAATAGAAATTATGTGTTAGATTTATTTTTGTCAATTGAAATCACTGGCATGTCAGTTCATGATTTGATATGATTTCTGATTGTGAATATCTGGGGTTTGTTCAGCTTTTCTGTTTGTGGGTTATCTGATGAGTCTGAACTACTGAGTCTGCCTTAATGAAGTAAGAAGTTAATTTATTGAGCTCATGGCTAGAGCCATAACAGGATTGGATTGTACTTGAATGGGTAGGTGTATGATTATGTAAAATTGATTGTCTTTTTTTCGGGAGAATAAATTACTTTACTATTGTGAGGAAATGTGTGATTATGTTGTCTGAGGATTTGTTCCATATATTTCTGGTTTTATGCAACAGCATGTCAAAAAGGAACTGTCATCCATATAAATTTAGTTCCATACTTTGGTCACATGATGGCAAATTAACTAATTTGGTTCAAAGCTCATGAAGAAGACCTTCAAGTTATGACACACGACATATGCACATGTATCAATGGTGATATCATACATGCACAGAACTTTAAAGTAAACTATGTGTTAACAGTTTTTGGTGTTCTGTGCACTGGTGGGTATAAGAGGACATACTGGTGTAGTGCTCCTGTCCTCTACAGGATCTTATCTATTCGAACATTGATGGACAAATACAGTTTAACTTTGAAAGTGATGGCAGGTAGACCAATGTATTTATCTAATGTTTTTATTTTTTAATCAAAAAATCTGGAATTCTGTAAAAAAAGGAGAAAAAAATAAACTTTAGCACAAAAACAGTCTATCACTAACCATACCAAACATCTCTTGTTACCATGACACCTTCGGCTTTAGGTAAAGATTTGTCATGATCATGACCCCATTACTGTTACAGTCCAGCTCCCACTACAGAAACTGGCTGGATTCCAAAATATACTTTAAGGAAACAATTACTAAGTTCACATATTTCAACCAGACATATGTAAGTACTAAGTAATGATGGCATCTAAAATGAAATGGTTGTCTGTTCTTATGATCCTGATGAATTCGATGCAGATTTAAATGAAATAGTATAAAAAACTTTGGTCGTGTGACATCTGTGGTAAGAACCCAGTCCAACATTACTGTGTCTTGCAAATCTTACAAACTTCTATTTAAGACACCAATTTAGCAGTAACATTCACTTGACTTTGGTAAATGTTTAAAAAAATGGAACACAAACGATCCACAGCAGTCTGAATTATACTCCTGCGTCAACATGTCATCACAGGCACAGCCTGTTCCCGGGTGCATAGACTTTACCTGATGATTGTGGGACAAAAGAAAATTCAAGTTCATTCAGACACTTATTCTGACACAGAGCTTTACATATTGAAGTGAACAGGTAGTCAGTCAAATCAAAAAAACTTTTGTTAAAAAAGTTAAAAAACAAGAAAATACAAATGGCCAAACGGAATGAACTGGTCCTTCGGGTAAAACGTAGCATATCTTAACCATTAAGATATGATTGAAATGTTTAATGAACACAGTTGTGTCAAATTTCTTTGTGTGTGTGTGTGTTGTCTGTGTATAGAGGCACAGTGACACAGAAGTATAAATCATCCACGACTAAAAAACATTTTTCTGCAAGATGAGATTTTTTTTTAGAGGCACTGTGTTTGTACTAAACATTGGTTTGTCACAAAACTGTATTGTATTAATCAATATCTGTGTTTGGTTACTTTATGACTACAATTAACTATACAACTGACCAATCAAGGCATTTTCTGACAGTGCTGGCATTGAGAGAAATAATCCTGAGGTGAATTCACAGGAGATAACCAACCTTCATCTCTGGGTGTCCAGTGGAGACATCGTGAGTCTGGCTTATCACAAGGACTGGAAGCAGAGAAAAAAACTGTACGGAGTAGTTAAGTCTGTTTACGCACGGCACTAAGTGTGAGATCTGTGTCAGGGTCATTACTCAGTGTTTAAGTTGTTGGATGTTTTCTTTTCCAACTCCTCTCTACGGAGGCCGTCATGTTTTTTACATTAGTCCAGACTGGACAAACTAAACACATTTTGAGTTTTTATGACAACTGAAGCTACCACAGGTTCATTTTCATGTTTGGAAGGAGAGGGTGAGGTGAGGGGTGTCCAGCTGCAACATGCAACACTAGATATCACCAAATTCTACACACTGTACCTTTAAAGGAGCTAACAAGATTTAATCAGTGAGTCTGTATTTTCAATAATATCCCTATAGTCAGTTTTTATGAGCAACTCAGTGACTGAGCTGTCCAGAGTTCAAAGAGACCGCAGCTGTGCATCTGTGGAAAATACCAGAACAAATCACCTGCTAACCTTAAATGTCTCCAGCAGGAACACAAGGCACAGGAATATCTTATGAAAACAAAATCATGTACTCAGTGAAACCCTGTTCTTGTCACAGTTTAGTGAAGTTTACTTGATGTAGTGCCAGGGTGAAGTCATCAGTTTAAAAGGTCAGTCCAACAGTTCAACCTGGTGACCTTGTGTTCAGCAGGCTTTGACAAGACAACCCAACAAACAAGTTTCACTCTGCCTTAGAGAAGTGTGTGTGTGTGTGTGTGTGTAGTGGGCTGGGCTATGAGTCTTTGAGCATGCTGATCTCTGCAAAGATCTTGAGTGCAGGGCCCAGTTTGATGTTCATGGTTGCCATGAGATGATCCTCCTTCAGCAGCAGCAGGGCCTGTCCATCGATCTCCTGAGAGCGGAACTCCTCAGCAATCTCCAGACAACCTGCAGCCACAACAGTCAGTTTACACCACGGCCATGCACACAAACCACACTGGATTCATGTCTCAATATGATCACCATCATGCCCATCTACATTCATTTTTCAGCACATATACTTCCAGGGTTGCTATGAGAATAATTTGGATATAGAATCACAAAATGTATCAGTGTTTGAAGATTTGTATTCCTGAAAGGAATAAAGAAAGAGATCTTGTATCAGAAATCAGAAAAGTCCTTTAGTCTCTGAGTGGGCAGGCCTTTGTCAAGTACTAAGCTGGGAGTGACACAATAAAGCCATTAGTGATTTATTAACTGTTATGTGCAAACATCAGCAAACCACACCACAATTTTCTCTAGATTTTTTTCCAAACATAGTTAAATCCTGATTTGTGCGTGGAGGAATATGACATCACCTCAACCACCTCAAACTAGGGGGACAATTACAGAGAAAAATCCGATTTGGATGTAGCCTAAAGAGGCACTGTGACAGCGCCCACCTGGTAGAGTGGAGATGAACTCGTAGACTTCCTCAATGTTCCACTGGCCGGGATCACTGGGCAGGAAGCTGTGTGGCAACAGGGGCAGCTCAGAGCCCTGCACCGCAGGCACCCGCTGGGTGGCTGACAGGGGAGGTGGTGTTTTTTTGTAGCCAGACAAGTCTGAACATTGGCTGGACTCTCCTGGTGCAGGGTGGACAGAGTGACCAGTGGACAGAGCAGCAGCAGCAGGCTTCTGCACAGAGAGTCAGAGGGGTTAAACACAGCACTTCACGACAAGAGGAAACCTTGACACACTGCACACTGGTTGTTTGTCTCCACTGTCCACTGCAGTTTCAGTCATTGTGACCTTTGACCACTGAAATACAATAAGTTTATCTTTCCAAGTGTCAACTGCTCAAAATTTGAAGACATTTCCTAAAGACAGACTTAAGACACCGAGGTTAAAACATGTTTGGTGATGTCCCTGGGACCTATGACCACCCGAATCTAAGCAATTAATCAGTGAGCAGAAAGAAATCTGCAACCATCAGCTTTCTTTCTGAAGTTGTAAAAATGACCTGCAGTAATTGAGTCGGGTCAAGTAAAGACCAGCTGTGGAACTCAATCCGCAGAACCGTGATGCCACCGCTGCTGCACAAATAGCTGTTCACCTCTTTATTCAAAGTTCGGTGAAAGCTGGACTCAGTAAACAGAACCCTGAACTGGAGAGTCACTTGTGTGTGTAGGGTAATGTATGGTTCTCAAGCTATGCATTCCACATACAGACAGACAGATTTCTGGAATTATTAAATTGTCTCGAAGCGTTTTTTAAGATAACACATTCACAAAGCAAAAAGGGTATCGTGAGGTCACCATTAACCTTTAACCACCAAAATCTAACCAGTTCATCTTTGAGTCCAAGTGGACCTTTGTACTGAAGCTGAAAAGATTCTTTGTAGGTGTTCCTGAGATATAGCGTTCACAAGGCAAGGGTGTCGCCAGCGTGGAGGCATACAAATGTGAATTAAATGTTTGCCTCTGACATGATCCAATGTGGAGGTGAGCTATAAGGCAGATACAGAAGACATATTAAACCTGTGCTGAAATAATTTCAAAAGGTTGCAGGTGGTCCTGTCACATACAGAGAGCAGTTGACCTTCACATTTATTCTAATGAATTATTAGAACAACTGTCTCACCTTCTTTTGAGATTCTAAACTGGAGTTATTGTGTTGTCCGTTCTGTGCTCTTTGTTTCTTCATGTTCTCCAGGGTGGTTTTGCGGTTTGGGAAGAGACCCACTCTCTTTGTGCATCCCACGTTGTAACTACAAATGGAGTTAACATGGTGAGCAGCACAGCTTTATTGATTATTTTTCTAAGCTGGGGACTAACAAACTCGATCAGTACATCCCCCTTATTTCTACCACAGAGGGAATAGTGGAAATGTAGCAAAGGAAAAGATGGTAATGTCTTTGTTCCTTACCGTTTGGCACATACTGTGGAGCAGAACCTCTTAGACCTTTTGAAGATGTAGGCAAAATCCACCCTGCCACACAGCTCACAGGTTAGCATAGGCTCCTGCTGGGCCTTTAACTCTGAGTGAAAACAGTCACAACACACAGTCAGCTGGACACAAAATCAACAGCAACATCCACAGAAAAACCGCTAACACTTTATATTAGGGAACACACAAAGTGAACATATCCAAGCACTTGATTGTAATTCATGTACAACAACTTACTTACCATCAATAAGCAGTAATTAGTAGGTTATTAAGGGAAAACTGTTAATCAGTGGAGTAGTTGCAGAATAAGGTCATTAAGAATAAGGCATTAACAAGTGATTTATAATGACTAATAAAGAGCCAATATGCCTCTAATACCCATGCTAATAAGCAACTAGTTAATGGTTGATATGTGTTCCCTAATATAAAGTGTTACCGGAAAACCATCTGTGCAGTCAGATCCACATTAAAAGGTTGATATAAAAGAGTCTGGATTTTTGTTTCTTTCAAATTTCTTCCAATTTATCTGGTAATGTCTGAGTGACAAGTTCTTAAAATCCAACCTGGAGACACATCGTCCTCACAGTTCACTTAATCATCATGAAGATGTTTCGAATGTCTCAATTCTTTAGATTAATAATGGAAGAGTGATCATACAATTTCGATTTTCAAGTGAGAACAAGCACCGTATAGATATTATGCACACACCAACGTTATGCAATTGCAATTTAATTTTCATAATGTAGAGTTAGCTATACTGATACATGATCAAATACAAAAATTACCCACATTCAAATGTGTCTGAACACTCGCTGTTAAAAGACCAGTGGAGTTAATTTTTCATCTGACCTCAGAGCAGACCCAGGACCCACTGAAGGAATTATATACTCTATTCTATCTAGTGTGGGGATGCCTTCTGATCCCTCAGAATGAGCTGCAAACAGTTCTAGAAAGGACTTAAATACGATGAACCAACCAAATACATACCAGATATCCTGATACTGGAGAGAAGGTGCAGCCTTGAGACAACATCATGTTTTCTATAGTATTGCATTCACACACGCACAAGAGAAATGTGTGCTGCACCTCTCTATACAGAGAAAGAAGTAATTATGCTGTACTACTGGTCCGAGGACTTTACCCTTTGGCAAGAGATTGTCCATCTTTGAGTCTGCTGTGTTTCTTCTTAGACTTTCAATAGAGAAAGATGGACGTTCCACCTGCACACAGAAAATTAAACATTACTACAGCAGCCGATAGTGCTGCAATTTATCAGAACACTTGTAGAACAAGATGAACATGTGCTCTGGCCTCTTGTTTGTTTGTGTGATCCAGATCAGTCACGCTTTTAAGTGCCCAAATTTTTCTTTTTGGGGATTGTCCTATTCTTTACTGTGCAAGTCTGTGCCATAGGTGAAAGTTCTGCAAACATACAATGACCAAAGTCAGCAGCATAGAGTTCCCACCCTACGGTGGGCCAATAGATAAAACAGAGCATTTCAGACCAAATGAGGCAGCGCAGCAGTAAACAGTAGGAGTCATTTCCCGTTCATTTTGAACACACAGTTTGTTAACCTGTTTGAATAAACCCTTTAATTAAATGCAAACCTGAAGCAGCTAGAGCTGCAGCTCAGTTTAGTGAACAGGCACATCCTGCTATCTGTACTCTCTCATGATCAGTTCAGGCAGAGAGCTTTCATCCTCGGGTGTTCCTTCAAGGTGTCATGGCATGAACAGACATCTGTGGTGGCGGGGTGTGGTTAGGGTGCCGACTGCTGGACGACAGGGAGGAGTGGCTCCTCCCTGTCGTCCAGCAGTCGGCGCCCTAACCACACCCCGCCTCCACAACATCCTTATCACATCCACAGGTGTGCCTCAAGGGTTGGTGCTGAGACGCCCTTTTCAATTTTAATATACATCCCAACCTAAGGTCCAGTTATCTACTTGCATGGCTTCTCATCAGGGCTTCACAGGTGAAGCTCAACCACACCAGTCATTACTACCAGATGACCTCACAGTCATGGTCTCAAACATATCCACATGGAGAATGGAATTCTGTCTTCAACTAAACCTTTTCAAGATTGACCTCTTAATCATCCTGGTCGATCTCTCTCTCAGGCAGATAGTTTATAGTAGAGCCCCACCAATATGGATTTTTAGGAGAGCAAAAACAATTCTGATAATGATATACAGATATCAGCTGATATATACTCTTGAAAATGGAAATTATTCCTAAGATATCGTTATCAAATCTTAAACCCTTTTGACAAAGAAATGTAATCGAGGCTTGTTATAAACTTTACAAAAGAGATGCGGTTGCGCAGTAAGATGGCAGCACTGATGAGAGCTCTGAGTCAGTCCAGCAAACTTTTGCTTATTTTCTTTTTCTTACTGGCTCTTTTTGCCCACACAGAGCTTTAGTATTGAATTGAACTTTTTTTGCATTTAACTATTGCTGTAATTGTGATTGTAAACTGCTGAGCCTTCTTGTCCAACATTTTTCATTGTACGGTTAAACCCTCAATATGACAAATAAAACCTGAAACTCAA